AAATTCTTCGCCATGGAATGATACTGAATCTATATAAGCTATGGTCAGGGGAGAAGGAAGCTTAGCAGTACTGATTTAAAGTATTCTTGTGCTACCACGAAGAGAAAATCTATTAGCAAATGAGGCACTTGCTTAGCAGCTACTACATCACCTCTTGGTTTCCAAATAACGAAGCAAATAATTTTTCTATGCAGCATTGCTAATTCTGTTCAGGAACCGCTCCAAAAAACTTTCTCCCTTCTAGCAGCCATTGGCGCTGGTAAAATGCCCGTGCAAAATAAATCTAATTGCGCGAGTGTGTACGAATGAAAAAAGAACTGCAGTAGCTTCAAGTTGGAGTGAGGAAATCTAAGGGAGAGGGCTATTACTACCAAAGGGATCGATGTGTATAATGATGCAGACAGATTTCCAGACACCCGCGATTGTAGAAGTTCTTGTTAAAATTTTGATTCAAAAGAGCACTTACACTCTTATACTCGATTGATGTAGAAGAACAAAAACTTATTTATGCAGGTTTTCTTAATTCCTTTCATTTTGATGATTTAAACACACTAGCTAGAAGGCAAAGTTCGAGCACCTTTTCTCTTATTCACAAACCCTGGAGAGGTTGCACGAAGTTACTTTCCAAGCAACGGCGTAGATGGCCTCCATTGTGGCTGAGAAATTAGCTCTCTTGCTCGGTACCGTACCCTTAACAAGCCGACCAATTGGCGCCTTCGATTACGGTATCGAGCGAGAGTCTAAGGCCTAGGGCATACTTCACGCGATTTCAGTCATTGCGAGGGTTGTCACTGCAGCGGCTGTTATACTGGTCGTAAGTGCGCTTTGTTTGGTTTCATCCGTTTGTAACAACTTACAGAAGCTACGGCCTATGCTTCGAAGAGTCGCACAGGATGAGTTCGTAGACATCTGGCAAATTGCCAAGTCGTGTGAGGTCGCGATTTGGCGGAAACGCTTGAAGTACGCCTTAGGCCTAAGACCGCGTTTGCGAGCAAAACCAAGGAACTGTCGCTTCGACAATGGCTTCTTTAAGCCCTCCCAATCAGGTATTTTAACGTTATCATCAGCTATGCCCTTACCACAACATTTTCAGAGTGCCTCCAGCAGCCGGATCTTCGGTTCTGCTAGCGTACTTTGTTCAGATGCATAGATCATCCACCCTCACAAGCTTGCACTTTCTCGGAACCGTCATTTTCGTCGCATTGCTCAAAAACTGCATATATCAGCGCAACAATTTTTTTCAGTCCAGCTATGGAGCACAGCATTCGGCAAGAGCTCTCCTCATGCCAGAGAACACTCAAACACGAAAGTTGAGCTTTTTCTATTATGTAAGAGTCCCATATCTAAGGCTGTGGCCGTGCACGGAAATCAATAGCTATTTCTCGTTATACTGTGCTTCATTAAGCGAAGTTGTTGAAGTCCACGGCCACAAGCTCTTTCGATTGCGGACGTGTGGACGTGTAGATGGAGTTGTTCGATGAGCGAGCCGCTCCGATGGCGTCACCGCCGAGGGGAACAGAGCCGCGAGGCATGCCCGGCTTGCTCGAAATTGCTTTTCTTCGTTGAGAAATTGCCTTTACGAACGAGAAAGGAAATTTCCATTGCGGCGTCGATGAGGGAGATTTCTGAGGGACGCACTTAATGTGGCTTACAAGATGTAGTGGGCAAAAGAGTCTTCCTTAACTGCGCGTGGCTTATAAGGCGTAACATAGGATAGAAAGGCATTATCTATAGCGGCGGTCCCAGAATTTCCGCTCGGGAAGGAGGGGAGGAGGAGTTCAGAAAAAAATTTTCGATAGGGATCATGGCGTTAGCCCCCGACTCTGAAGATTTCTTGGGATGGTTCGCAAAATTTTTGTGGGTCGACGATCCTGGAATTTCAGAAAATGGAAGGGGGGGGTGCAAGAATTTTTTTAACAAGGTTACTTGAATTCTAAAAAATTTCTAAAAATTTTGAATTTGTTTACAATTGTTACAAGTAAACGACTCTCTTGCACATTTCTCCAATACATGTAAGTAACTTCACTTCGCGACCCGTTCTCGAGAGGGAGGAAGGCATGTAATTCAAATTAATCAACGTGGTCAAACGGGGCAGTAATGTGCCTTAGTTCTTAAAGGTAATGGGAGAAAAATTCTTAGAAGACGTTGCAACGGTGAATCCGATTTATGCAGTCATCTTTTTTTGATACTCTGTCCGTGTATAGCAGTAAAAATGAATGTCTCGAAATTACCATTATTTTGCTAGTCCATTAGAAAAAGGTGAGAACCTCTTTTCTCCTATGCCTCCGCCTATCCCCATCCGGAAATTGTCTATCATTCAGAAAAGTTTTCCCTTAGATAATCATAGCAATTTTTGAGAAGCTGAAGTCTTGTTTATATTTCAACGCATGAGCAATGTTTTCGCCTTCATTTTTTTGCCATCATTTTCCAGATAAGGTCAACTTTGGTGCACTCTGTTCACTTCTTCTTGAAAGATATTTTGGAGAGATTACTAGAAGTTCTCGGGTCAACAACGTTTCCTTCCAAGTTTGGGTTGTTTCAGACTGCCGCACTGACTGCAGCAGACTGCAGCAGTCAGTGCGGCACTATGAAACAACCCTTTTGAGCAAAAATCTCTATCACAGGTTCAACCTGCCCTTTTAATCTATGTTCTTACACACCATCGATAACTGTCGGTAAGTACAGGAACACCAAGACGGGGGAGCTGGTAATCAACATTGGTGATAGATGTAACAAAACTTTACTAGGATGCGGCAATTTTGTCATTCTATAAATCGTTCAGCATGTTTTACAGTTTTTGAAAGGCCAAGCTTACTTGGTAAATGTCATCTAAAATTCCATTAAATGCACTACCTCGCTGCCTCGCCGATGACGTAGCGAAGCTGGAAATGCTGTATCATGGCAAAAACGGTTTAATTGACGTCATTTGATGCAGGGAAAGTGAAAACGGATGTGAATAATCTTGCTTTGGAGTTTCGAAAAAAGACATTTCCTTCGCGTTCAAAGAGCCAACATTCACTCAAGAAAAGATTTGTATTATTTATATTTGAACGTAGATTACATATCATGTTAAAAAATGCTAATAATAAAACCTCTTCTGCAGGAGGTACAACTAATATATCTTTATCTTCATACCTGAGTCCGCCACATGCAAAAAAGAAATTTACTTGAGAACTACAAAACTTAGCTACCAGACTGGTTAGGATTCGAGTTTTGTTGGAGGTGCTAAATAGGCAGGTAGTTCAAAATCACATTCTGTTTGTTATTATAATTTTCTCATCAGACGTTCATTTGACCGTGAATAAACTAACCAAAGCAGAAATGGACATACTTGCATCAATGCTTGTAACGCGCTCTGCTCGTATGACATGTGCCATACTTGATCCACTTGACCAGCTCGATCAGCATCATCCAATTCGCTATTGGTCATTTCACTGATTAAACCAATAGCAAAATGAGAAAGTGGATCAAGCGGATTAAGTGGATTCATGTATGGCGTGGCTCATGCAGCAAATATGAGATATGTGCGATCATGACGCATTTTCAGTGCTAATAGGCTTTCACTAACCAGCAGAGTTTTCCTGTTAATAATGCAGCAGCAAAAGAAGCGCCAAGGCAGAAAAATGGACTAAGGGCCGCATGCATTAACATCCCACCGGGGAGGAGATCGCAGCTTAAAAGAAAAGCCTCATATCCTGAAGCTCCAACTACCTGAATTTCGCGCTGTCTACCTATACGCAGTATTCCTACCATCCTTTACTAAGAACATATTGGACAGGAGCGAGAAGTTAAACAAGCCGCTTTTCCAGTTTTTGTATGATCTCTTGCTAATTCTCAGCTGCCGACCTTCTTGTCTTTGAAGGCAGCGTACACCCAAATTTCGTCTTCCATGCTTTTATTGTTATTGGACCATTCCACGGCGCTGGTTTCGGATATTCAAATCACCAGAAAACTCCAAAATTGCCCCTTTCTGAGGCCTTCGACAAGTGCCTCGTCGCTAGTCACGTCGTATGCTACAGGAAACCTCGTCGTGTGCAACAGTGCCACATCACAAACTATGCGTCTCGATGCTGCTTGTCATGTCAGAATCGTCAGGGGCAATACGTAGGTGGGTGGAGCGCAAAAGAGATGGTGGAGCGCAAATAGGACCCGATTTGTTATCTCCTTTTGTAGGCAACACTAGAGGATCGGACCGACGCGAATGGTCTACCTTTAGGGCCTGCTAGTAGGATAAGCTGAATTTGGGTGAGCAGATTTTGGGTGGACGCTGCCTTTAAAGTCGCCAGCAGTGCTGATCATGTTCCTGGTAACAAATGCTTTTTGAAACAGGGCTCGGCACAGGTCGCTTATGGGCAAACTGGATATCGTTGAGATAAAAAGGAAGGGAAATATCGTTTAAGTGGAAACCCCAACCCACGCCCCCACAAATCGTCTTCTCCCTTTATGTCACCTTACATCTTCTATAGAAGACGCATATAGTCACTCCTGCCTTATCGATTTCAACAGGTTCGCCGGTTTCAAAAGGTTCGCCGATTAAGTGCGCGAATTCAAACCTGCCCCGAAATAAGCAAAAGACTCAAGGCCCGGCACCGATGGTTTGGGGTCAAACTGGACTTCGTTTTTGGAGTTAGAAGCAACGGGGACATCGTTTTTATAAGGTCCTGGAGGAAGCGCAAAAAAAACACGACGAACATGTCAGGTTTCACGAGTTGAACGTGTTCTTTCGCAATCGCGCTCCAATCAGGGTAAAGCGGGGGGTGCGGCACGCGACCGCCGGATACGACCCCCCCCCTGGACCGCACCCCGGCACGACCCCCCCGCCCATTCCCTACCCCCCTCCCCCTCCACCCCCCCCCCTCTCCCCACCCTTGAGCTTGACACAGGGAGTGAATTGTCTTTCATATTTTCCCTTTTTATCAAAACATGACAAAATTTCAACATTTTTATCTCAAAACATACATAACAACATCGTACACAACAAATTCAAAAGATACAACTAATCAACATCTCCGAAGTGAGAAATCCAAATATAAGCGGAATGCAAACAAAGCTCTCTCGCATTCGGTTTCCGCTGCGTTGAGCATCGTTTGCGCGCGACGATATCGCTCCAGAGTCAAGCGATCAGCAGATGACATGTACATCTCTTCTACTTCGGCTATCTGAACGATAAAAAATTAAGTAGAATCGAAAAGGGGAGAAGCCAGCCCACAGACCTGTTGTTTTTTCGTCTCTTCATCAAGGGCTTCATCAGCACTGATAGTTTCAATGATAGACTCCATCTCTACTTGACGGTCTGTCAGCTGACGATGCTCCTTAGCTTCGAATGATCTTCGCAAAATGATATTTCGTAGCATCTAAAATCAAATTCAACTTACCTAGTCATGGTTGTGATAAAAATTCTAGTTTACACATGAGTAAGGGTTCAAAAACATTTTCTGATAAGCGTCGGCAATAAATGTCTTAGACTAATCTAACAAGCACTACATAGTTCTGGACTACTAGACAAATGAGCTCACTTTACAGGTATATTCCACCAAACCTCTCTCAGTTTGAGGCATATCCACATAATACAGAACAAACGTTCGAGCTGGAGCAAAATCATTCGTACGACCAATAGGCTAAAATACATCAGCTTCACATTAACATATGATTGCTAAAGTGTGACCAAGTTAACTTTTGTGCTAACATATTCCTCTTCTAACATAGCGTAGAGAAGCTCTCGTGTCTCTTTGCCACTCATCATTGTCAGTTTCTCGATTTGATCTTCTTCAAGATGTCCTCTTTGTTGCAGAAGACGAAAGATTCTAAACTACAACTACGATATCGATAAATCATTGGTTATATACTCAGCGTAGGCGAGACTCACCTCACAGCTCGTGACTCCAGCTGCTCGCGAATCAGGGATTCTATGTGAAATTGGCAAATTTGTTCAACAGCTCGTTTAAAATCTGTAGGAAATGAAAGTAAAGCTAATAACAATAGAATGTACATTTGAAAAAGTTGCACATCAGAATAATCACCTATTACGAATAGTCCACCGCCACTATCTCCAGATTTTCGTGCAACTCCCCGAGACTCGTCTACCAAAACTCGCAAAGCCTTCTCAACATCAGGTCGCTCGAGTTCGTTCGTTCTCCTTCACGCATCGCATGATATCAAAAAGCTGCAACAATCCAAACTGTCCTATTCCACAAGATTAAGTAAATTAGCTTGGTATGAAGTTGATAGCAAAAATGGAAAATTAACTAAGGAAAAAAGCTGCCATTCACGAGAACACATTTGAGAACGTACCGAGATTGGTGCTGTGTTAATTGTCGTCAGCGGCAATGTTCGGATTTCATTAGCTTTCAGCAGTGAACGCACTGTTCGAGTCAATGTCTGTGATATCTTCTCTAAGTTCTAGAGGGCCGGCTTACTTGCGAACTTCAAATCAGACTACTCTCAAACCTTGAGTACAAGGAGGTCCAGAGTCATTTCGTCGCGAATATAACGGTCAAACCGCATCCAATTCATACACCAGTAGACGCCTTCATCACCTTCTGATTGTTTTCGTTTTCTTGATTCTCCTGCTTCGTCTGGATTTTACTCAAAATCGTTAAAAAAGGTTTGATGGAAAACATAAGGATTATGCGCATGTGTAACTAACCGGGTGATCCTTGTAAAATTACTTCCGGCATGATGTACGGGTCATAGGAAGTCTCAAATTGAGGGCAACCCTTCAGAGAAGAAACAACAGGTGGGCATTTGATAATAAACTGTGATTCCGTTAACCGACAGAACTTCTCTTTCACCTTGAAAAACCCTTTGTTTTCTATATAAATGTAAGTAAAAAATCGAAAAAAAAATAAATAAACGGAAGGATAATCAAAAGTTAATAACGAAGTACAGAGCTCACATCATTCAAAGGCTGCTCGAGTCGTTGAGAAACTTTGCGAATGCAATCTGAGCAGGTCAGACGCCCATAGCTAAATAATTCCTCGCATATTGCCTCGGCTAGACCACCATAAAGCGTTTTTACAATAAGGCAACATCTGCAACGCATTTTCATAGTCTTACTTGAATAACAACGAATGAGCATATAAAGTAGACTAAGAATCAACAAAAATACAATTGAAAAAATGCCTCCAGACGAGCTCGTACCTGGGGGCCTTGGAAAATGCAAGTATTGAACTGCGATCTATAGAATAAACTGTGCGCATAGCTGAGTCGAGTTTGAAGCTCACAATAGAATCTTGTATGAGAATGGCTAATGATTTGCGAACCTGCAAAAAGCGACTATCAACTTACGACACACTCTGTATTCTCCTTAGAAGAAGAGGAAGAAGCGATGCCGATTTTTTATCAAAAGTGTTTTAAATTGTATCTTCCTTTCTGCAAAGTTCAAAATACGTCACTGACATAACAGATCTATATATAGAGGCAAACAAGCATGGATACAAACAAAACAGCGACCACGCTTAGCTCTGCATTTACCCTGCACATGAAACGACTGAATGATAGAAAGACAAACAGACAATAGACAGACACTGCAATAAAAGAGGAAAGAAACAGAAACAGAGAAACATAGAAATCATAGGAAGATAGAAACATGGTATGAAAATTGATGCGAATTTCAAGCTGTCTTGTCTTCCGCCCTTGGTGTGGTGGCAGATTTTGGAATCCTACCGTACACCAATATTTTCGGCGGTTGTCGGACTAGGTGCTTCGGTGAGTAGGGTTCAGAAAACCCACCGTATCTCTACTAAGAGGGCGCGCTTGAGGGGGGGGGGCAAATGCTACTACGAAGAGGAGAAGGATGGCTCAATAGAATAGTGTAAAAAAGGGTTTCGTTTGAGCGTTTTGAAGGTAAGTTAATGGCCTGCGGCACCCCCCCTCAAAACCTGCGGCAGCCGCAGGTTTTGAGGGGGGGGGGGGGTGCCGCAGGCTATTAACTATATCAAAAAAACATTTTTAGCGGACAATATTTATATGAATCAATAGCCTAAACCTCGTAGATTCCACAGGGATGTTTTGAGCCTGATTCGTCTTCTTAGCTCTGAGTAATATTTGGTGAAAGCACAGCGATCAAAAGCTAAAAGCGATTTTGGTTGGCTTCTAATTCAATAGTTTGGAGGTCTTCTGAAGCGGGATTCCTGAGGTGGACAAAGAAGGAGTAGTGCTTTGTATTGAGTGCTAGAAGAGGTAGCTTACCCACCGTTAAAGGCAGTGTCCAGGCTAAACCTAACCCCCTCCGATTAGTGTCGATCCTGAATGTAGGCCCCAGAAAAGGGACATCTGAGTTGGTCCGGTCTTCTAACGTTGTCTCTGAATGGAGATAAGGGGCCCGAAAGTCCCTGGCTGGGCGGAGTCTGATATCAGACTCCGCCCACCAGGGACTGCTCACTACCTTGTCAATACGTGCCTCCGACACGTATTGACAAGGTAGTGAGCAGAAGCTGCACACTGCACACTGTAATGCAACTGCAACCATGCAGTTGCAGCTCCTTCCCCTGGCCTGCCGACGGGGACGAGCAATTCGAAACTCGTCCGCACCCTCAAGATTGGATCCCCAAGGATCGGGTTTTTTGTGAATTTTAGAAAGTTTGAAGTTCGGAACTGTAATCAGGACCACGGAAAGGCCCCAGAATGACGAAAATATAGGAGGCCAAATTCTGGGTGGACGCTGCCTTTAAGATGAAGTTAATCATGTTTTAAATTACTGCTTTATACAAGGTTGTTTACTGCTCGGAGACCTCAGAGTTCGCTGAAACTTGGCGCATAGGGGTTATTCGACACGCGGATTACGACAATTATGCTTGATTAGAGGTACGGTAGGTTACGGTAGGCATACGGTATCTGCAAGTTTGTGTCGTTGAACTTGAATTTTGCAGGATTTCAACAGCGCTTTCATCAAGTCAGTTTAGTCACACAGCTTGTACAAGTGCGCAAGTCAATGTAATAGGCTTGCACACATACAATAGACGACTATGAAGTTAGTGTGTGCGTTCGGCGCATGCCTGCAGAGGGTGTTGAGGACGCCAAATCCGTTATCCTTTATCCTTATAATCGGTTTATGTTTTTACGCACAACCAGCTGTGTGAGCGGCAGCACAGAACAGTACACGGAGACTCAGAGGTAATTGGGAAAGAGCGTGGCACATCTAAGTTCTTAGCTGCAGTCATTTCCCCTTAGAAACCGCTTTTGACCTTGGGTCGATACGACCCTCCCCTACCTACCCCCCCCCCCCCCTTACGACCCCCCCCCCCTGCGGCGTGCCGCACCCCCCGCTTTACCCTGGCTCCAATCACTTGCAGTGTCCTTTGAATTATGTGGCGAAAAATGCATCGCAGGATTGTTGAGGCTACAGATTTGGTTGGCCTAGGAGATTTTCGACATTTCCAGCATCAAAATGGTACTATACCCAATGGCAGAGCCTTTAATCGACTCGAAATGTTTTCTTTTTGCTTTGTTGTTATATTACATACCTCAAAATGCGCTTTTTTCGCTTTTTTATTGCTATTTTGGTTGAATAAGGGTTTCCCTACTGATTTTCACGTCGAGAGGGACTTCGTAAATTTTCTCGAAGTCATGGGGGACTTCGTTTCCCAAAAACCTCCAAACCAACGCGTGCCGGGCCCTGAAAAGACTCTTTACAGCGAAGAGAAATTGAAATTGCACCAAAATTGGTGTTTGATGTTATTATGGAGTTAGGACTATGTAAGAAAAATTATGAAAGAATTATGTGAACTGAAGGCGTGGCAAACTTTTTTCGGAGTTGGGTGGTTTTCCAGCACCTGGACAGCCGCCTGAGGTGGCTGTGAAGAAAAAGTCATAAATTTTTCTCCCTTAACATAATTTTCTCACATGTTCAACATATTTTTGTTCTTTATCAAAAACCCTACAACAGAGTTTTTGAATCTCCCTAACCTCCTCCTTCCCGCCTAGTTATAGCCCTCGAAATATTTTGTATAGCGGCGGCAAGCCTGCTCCAAGCGCGCAAGACTGCGCGCCGGACATAGCATGCCACCAATTCGTAGAATACAAACATCTTTAGTTCTTTTTCGTTTAATCAATATTGTTTTTTACGTTGTGTTCTATTATCTTTCTTCATTCGTTTTGATCCACTCATAATCGCATCATCGGTGATGTTGTATTCTGTGGCAATGTCTACGGAGACCTTGTTTTTGAAAAATGAAAAGCTACCATGCCGAGCCCTGTCTCGAACTCATGAAATTTGAACCACGGGTCGAAAGTTGAGGTTTACCGAAAAAATCGATACTCTTAAAACTCTGTTCTTATCAGCAGTATGCTTGACGCTATTGGGTTAGATGATCAATACAACTTTGGAAGGTTCTGTTAACTTCGAAAAAAGAGAAATAAGTTCAAAGAAACGACGGTCGGCAGCTCGGAATTAGCAAGACATCATACAAAAACTGGAAAAGCGGCTTGTTCAACTCCTTGCCTCTGTTCAATAGTTCATAGTGAAGGATAGTAGGAATACTTACGGATAGGTAGACAGCGCGAAATCCAGGTTGGGCTTCAGGATATGAAGCTTTCTTTCGAGCTGCAATTCCCTCCCCGGTGGGATGTTAATGCATGCGGCTCTTGATATAACTTTTGTTGGAGATTAATTTGCAGTTAAACGAGACCCACGGCGACGCAAGAGGGGTATATCCCATGTCACCACGTCCCACCACTTTGGCCCATCGTGGTGCCCTTCCCGCTCCCCTCCCCCTATTTTTATAAATTAAGAGGTAAGGCCCCCTTTTCAAAGATTCTCCGGAGTATCTGCAATAAACCATTACCTTACGGTGCAAAAGAAATAAGCTTGCTTACTTCAATTATATTTAAAATAATATTCAGTTACATTGATTGTAAATGTAGTTTTGTTATTACGTAAGAAGACTCGAAAAAACTTTGCGCGTGTGTCAGTTGACACGCAGTTGCTCATCGTGGATAATTTACTAATTAGCTTTGCAAAGACAACAAATCTATCAGACAAACATCGCACAAAGGCAGGGCATAAGACAAACTCAAAAGCAAGTTAACAACGCGGATACGTTCTACTAGCGATAATGGCGGCGATTTGCACATTTCCCATCAGTTGATGTTGCGATAACCGAAAGGAACCTTCAAAACGTTTCGCTATATCGACTGTCGTCGATTGCCGAATCCAAAAGCAATATCGCAAACATAATAAAGAGTGGGCCAAAATGGCGAAAGTCGCGAATTTGTCGCCCGACATGATTTCGCGCCTCAAAATCGAGTTGCCCGCTTGCTCCGTGCTATATCTCCTCATGAAAACACATAAGCTCCAATCCGCTAATCCCACCTGACCTGGCTTCCACATATTCCACATTCAAGGTACGACTCAAAATAAGTTGTATGGGAGGGCCAATTGATAGAGTGGGTTGGTTTGTCAATCGTGTCCTGGTACAGCTGCTCAGATTCATTCCATCTCAGTTGGCCAACACAAATATATTTTTGGAGCGCCTGCGCGAAACACGCATTGATCACAGCTGTGTCATGGAATGCATTTGATGTTAAAGGCAGCGTCCGGGCAAAATTTCGAATGGAATTTTTTTCGCTTACCTGGGCTTATTCCTCCCACTGATTCTGAAAATGCAGCTTGGAGGGCACGAAAACGCCGAAAATGGGCTTTTCCAGAAGCTCTTGATTTGAATTTTGTCGCCTGCTGCCAAGGTTAAGACACAGAGTCTTTGTGGAACCCTACATCTTGACTGTGTGCGGTATGCGCACTCTGGCTTATCTAACTAATTCGTCCCGGTCGCTGAGGCGCCGGTCGCCAATTCTGAAGCGGATTTCTCGCTTCAAAAGCAAATTGGTGCATTGCCAGTTGGGCAAGAACTTTACCATGACGGGCGCCCTGTACCGCTCATTTTCGCATCTGCCCGGACACTGCCTTCAACGCCGCTTTTTACCAAAGTCAGTAACAAGTGCTTTTTATCGGTAACGAAACCAACATCAACCTTTACGGGCTTTCAGTCTCGCAACTCATGACACTTCTTGAAGCGTGTTTGGAGTACAATAT